GCCAGGAGGAGTCTTAGCTAAAGCCGAGTCGGTATCCAGGAAAGCAATGAGTAGCTAAACAGGAGCTTGATGTTGTGCAACAGACAGGACACGAATGTAATGGACAGACACAAACAGCAGACTTATATGTGATAAGCCACCACCTCCTGGGGGAGGAGCCGCAGAGGGCTGAAAGCATAAAGGATCCCACAATGCTTTGCAGACACCTAAGATGGATGCCAGCACATGGAGCAGCACAAGGTCTGAGGAAAGGTAGGACCTTGACAGTTACCACATTGATTGGTTGTAATGCTGTAACGTACCTCTTATGTTCATTTGATCTTAATGATCTATATTTCTTGTGGATGCTAAAAATGTTAAAGAAAGGATGCACAGGAAAAAAAAAAAAATCAAACCTGATGGCCCTGAATGAGCCTCGGTATCCCCCCAAACTCCTTTTTTTTTTTTTTTTTTAAGGTGTGCAAATGGGAAAACAAACGTATTGTGGTGTTTCCTCAAATTGGACCGCAAACGTGGAAACACACTTTAAGGGTGTATACACACTAGGTACAGTTGCCTTGTATTGTGAGATTGTCCTCCCTCCCTCGATGGGTCTGCACTCAGATTGTACTAGGAAAGCTTATGTCAAGGCCTCTGCCAGACAGACCAGTGATCCCTGTCTCCATGCCCTATAAGTGCTCAATGATCTATGAAACTTCCATGCTTGGACACGGTTAGTAATCATACCTACGTAAGCGTACCAAATGTACTATACCCAAAACACCTCTTCAAAGCATTCCCACGTCTGGTGCACTGAAACATGCCCAAGCAAGGTACTGAGCACTACACAAACAAATGGGAGTTTGGAGGTGAACCATGATCGATTCATATACAGTATCTAGTGTGAGTACACCCTAAGCTCCCAAGTTTTCTCCCATCAATGGTTACAGTACTTTCTAGGGCGTTAGAATAAATGGCAACAACAGTATCAAAAGTAGACCTAACTTATGGAAAATTAGAAACATGGAGTGTTGCTGGTTGTGAAAGCTGTAGATTTAAAGCAAATTTAGTAGCTTTGCCATGAAGATCTCAGGAAGGAGCCTGCAAGAAATGTAGGGAACCTCTGGGTGATTTGGCCCAATAGTTAGCTATACTAAAAATATATATATAAAACACATCATTGGCATTCATTCTTTAAACAAAATCTATTTTTTGATAGTAAGGACATCAATATCTTAAAATATGACAAATGCTCAGAAGCTCCTGATCCGTCTAGAGTGTGAATTTTACATATGGTGACCTCCCTTATGGTCATAACTGAGATACACCTTCCACACTTCACAATGAAATCCACTCATTGGTGTGCTGTGATGCCTTCACACAGTCAAGTCAATATTTGCATAAGTACACTTTCTGGCTCAGAGGCTGCTGTAATAGTTTAGAGTCCCATTTAAAGAAATCCACAGTATTTGTCAGAACCTGGAAAAGGCTGTAAGGCAAGTTTAGAAAATGTATCCTAATGACAGCTTGCTTGCATACTGGCTGAACTGACCTTTCAAGATCCTCAGTCCCTATTCATTTTATGTTCCACAGTTACAGAGCCATTCTTGATTAAAAGGGTCATAATTTTCCACGATAGAGCAGAAGAAAAATAATAAAATGAACTGTCCGCACTGTATTTGATCTTATCCATAGCACATCTATTATAATTTACTATCACTCCTACGGTTAATCTACTGAGCTGTGATCTTCATTTCCTTTCATTCCCATGGTAGTTCTTCCTTTAAATTCATCTCAACCTAATTTTCACTTCACAGTTTTTTAATCAAATCATCTTATTTATAGAAGATAATTTAGGTTGTAGACTACGGTCAGCTTATTCTGGCTTTTGTCCACTCAACTATGGATGAACGTAAGAGGTAGATGACAGGATTTAAAGCTGAACACTAAAAAAGGCACACATTAATGCAGCTCTGTAAACAATAATACACCATTAAATGTGTTTAAAATGCAAGCAGTGAGTGTCTACATGTGACCTTATATCAGTCTCTTGCAGTCCCCGTATAGCGAAGGTAAAGTATCAGAGGAAAAAGCAGCAGAAGAAGACAGTCAGTTCATGTTCAGGCAAGAGGCATGCTGATAGGAAGGGAAAGCAGAGTGACAGAATAAGTTAATCAATGTGCACCTCTTCCTTTCATTGTCCAGTCACAGGCTGGGGCAGATCCAGGATTACCTGGGCTCATAGGAAGTGTGTTAAATGATGCTGGCCATAAGACTGATGAAAAGTAGCAGAAAAAAAAAAAAAAAAAAAAGCTACTGTCATGGTCAGGTTCAGAGACCAATAAGACAGGTATACAAGTAGTTTGCCCTGGCAGGCTCACCTGGGGTGCGGGGTCTCAGCACTAACCGGTATTCACCGGAGCTCCTTATGGCAAAAATGGGTTTTGTTGCATGTTTGTACCAGGTTGTGGACCTCAGGATCGCCCTACCAGGAGGTGAAGAAGCCAGGGTTCAGTAGTAGATATGGCAGATAGGGATTAAGCACAAGTATAGTAAACCGTATCAAGCCAAAGGTCGGTAACCAGTGGTTGCAGGTTGGGATCCAGCAGAAAAGTAGCCAAGGAACATGAAGGTCGGTGATGAGTGGTAGTGAAGATAAGGAGCTGTAGCTACACAAAGGAGCAAGATATAGGCTGTAGAGAACACAATAATCTGGCAAAACAGGAAGTGCAGAGACATGGCTTAACCAATAGCCGCCTGGCCAATAGCCGTTTGGCGGCTGGAAAAATGCTTTAGATTTCCAGGTGGACGCCGTATATGCCATACTCCCGTGCATGCGCAGTTTGCGCGCTTGCAGAGCCGGGCAATCTGTCACGGCCGTATACCTCGGACACGGCCGATGACAGATTGGAGTACCGGCCCCCGTTGCCGGTACCATGTGACCTGCTGTGACCAATCACAGCAGGTCACATAACAGTTGTATACAATGGATGGCTTCATTCATGCCATCCATTGTATACTAGTGTCTAGCTGTGAATGGTCACAGCGATCACATGCACATGTCATGTGATTAGCTGTGGCTAAATCACAGCTAAGCACAAAAAAAAAAAAAAACCCCTGAATGAATCGATGTCATTCAGGTAAATGCTTGCTTACAGCAAAGTAATTCTTTGCTATAAGCAAATTGTGTAAAAAAAAAAAATACTGATCACTTCCCCAGAAGTAGTAGTAGGTGGGGAGCGGGGGACAAAAGGCTCAAAGCGGGACTTCCCTTTTTGGTGGAGCTCCACTTTTAAAACCACTTTTGACCTTCCAAACTGGATGTTCTTTAGATTTTTACAGCTATGTCACGATTATAAGCAATTACATTGGATGCCGTTTCTCCCCCTTGACTAGATGATGAGCCCTAATTATAGAATTTCATTCTCTTTAGAACTGCCCCCCCCCCCCCCCCCCCCCCCCCTTGGCTTGTTATGATGGTTGCATTGTTTCTATTTGCTGTGAGTACACCAATTCTTATTGGTTCTGGATAAGATTTGTAAAGAGAAAAAAAAAAAAAAAAAGTTCATGGGAGGATCAAAAAGTTCAAGGTTCATGAGAAACAAGAGACAAGGCAAGATTTTCCTAAAAGTTCAGATAGGGAGCTGTCCATCATTCAGGTGGCAAGAGCCACACCTAGACACCAGAAGTCATAGGTTCAGATCCAGACCCTGACAGGGACAGTGTGGGAAATCTTTGAATTATGCAGCAAAAGCTGGTTTTGTTATGTATCTATTAATGTGATTTTCATTTTTATGTTGATAGTTTTTGGCTGCAGATCCCCTTTAAACTGGTGTTCCACTTTCAGCCATATTACCTTTGAATGGTGATAATGACTAGCAGATTTTGCCCTACTCAGATCCTGTTCTTAGTGTCACAAAAAAAAAAAAACGATGGAGTTAAGAGTCTAGAAACCCAATGAGAGCAAGGCAATTCTAAGGCTGTAGCTGCATCGTGTCAAATAGGAATGACTGAAGGCCTGTGACATGCGAGCAGGAGCTGGCACATGGATCCAAATGCAGACAATGTGCATTCAGATCTTTGCACCTGCTCCTGTCCACAGGTCAAATTTCAGAATACGATTGTGTGCAGCCACTGTGCCTGCATTCAAATCTATGGGTTGCCTGCATGCAGCTCCGAAGTGGATGCACTTGCAGCAAAATGCAGCTCAACATGGAGTACGGGTCTCAGTGCCTGGATGAATGAGCCCTTAGAGTGTAATTAGGGTAGTTTTGTTTATTTCATTTAGTGTTTTTTTTGTATTTTTGTGTATTTGTTTTTTGTATTTGTGTATGTGTACCAGTGGTTTGTTTTTTTTAATTTTACTTTTGTTTCATTGATTTTTCCTTTACTCAGGGAGGGGGGCCTGTACTGAGGGGGGACTATACTTGGTGGAGAGAGGGGGGGGGTCTGTACTTAGAGAGAGGGGGGTCTATACTGATGGAGAGAGGTCTATACTGAGTATACTAAGGGAGAGGCATCTGTACTTAGTGGAGAAGGGGGTCTGTACTGAGGGAGGACTATACTTGGTGGAGAGGGGGGTCTGTACTGAGGGAGGTGAGGGAGGGGGGAGGGAGGGGAGGGGGGTCTATATTTGATGTAGAGCAGGGGCGTATTTACCTTGGGGACAACAAGGCGTTTGCCTTGGGTGGCATTTTTCAAGGGGGAGCTACCACTGGGGTGGGGAAGGGGGGGGGGAGGACAGCTTCCAATTTTTGTATTGCCTAGGGCGGCACAAAACCTAAATACACCACTGCCTCGGACTTCAGTTGCATTTTGCCAAAATGCAATATTTCACTAAACCTCCCTATTGTCAGCAAAAAATTGCAAAAAGAAAAATGCTCAATTTCGTTCATCCTTAATGCCAAAAAGGCCATGATGTCCAAGTGCTCTTATACTATATTGCCAAAAGTATTGGGACACCCCTACAAATCATTGGATTCAGGTGATCCAATCACCACCATGGCCACATGTGTATTAAAATCAAGCACCTAGGTATGCAGACTGCTTCTACAAACGTTTGTAAAAGAATGGGTCGCTCTCAGGAGCTCAGTGAATTCAAGCCTGGTACTATGATAGGTTGCCACCTGTGCAATTAGTCCATCCATGAAATTTCCTTGCTACTAAATATTCCACAGTCAACTGTTAGTGGTATTATAATAAACTGGAAGCAAGTGAAAAAAAAAACAGCAACTATACCACAAAGTGGTAGGACACGTAAAAATGACAGAATGGGGCCAGCACATGCTGAAGCGAACAGTGCGCAGATGTTGCCAACTGTCTGCAGAGTCAATAGTTAAAGACCTCCAAATTTCGTGTGGCCTTAAGATAAGCACAACAGTGCAAAGAGAGCTTCATGGGAGCCGAGCAGCTACATCCAAGCCAAGTGTTGGATGCAGTGGTGTAAAGCACACTGCCACTAGACTCTAGAGCAGTGGAGATATGTTATGTTATCTGGAGTAATGAATCAAGCTTCACTGTCAATCCAATGGACATGTCTGGGTTTGGCGGTCGCCAGGAGAACAGTACTGTCCTTACTGCATTGTGCCAAGTGTAAAGTTTGGTGGAGGGGGGATTATGGTGTGGGGTTATTTTTCAGGGGTTAGGCTTGGCCCCTTAGTTCCAGTGAAGGGAGCTCTTAAGATGTCAGCATACCAAGACATTTTCGACAATTTCATGCTCCTAACTTAGTGGGAACAGTTTGGGGATGGCCCCTTCCTGTTCCAACATGACTATGCACCAGTGCACAAAACATAGTCCATATAGACATGGAGGAGTGAATTTGGGGTGGAGGAACTTGACTGGCTTGCACAGAGTCCTGACCTCAACCCGATAGGTGGAGGAACTTGACTGGCTTGCACAGAGTTGACCTCAACCGAACACCTTTGGGATGAAGTTAGATGGAGACCAGGCCTTCCTGTCTGACATCAGTGCCTGACCTCACAAATGTGCTTCTGGAAGAATAATCAAACATTTCCATAGACACACTCCTAAACTTTGTGGACAGCTTTTCCAGAATAGTTGAAGCTGTTATAGCTGCAAAGTGTGGTCCAACTCAATATTGAACCCTACAGACTAAGACTGAGATGCCATTAAAGTTCATGTGTAATTTTGGCAATAAAGTGTACATCCCCAGAGCTACTTTTTCCCCACAGAAGAGGATTGACTGGGAGTCACCTCACATGTAATTGAAAGTGAAGGTTTTTTCCGTCTTATAGCTGTAGATATAGATTTTAACAAATTCACATTTACATTTTTTTTTAAAAAGTAGGAAGTATAATGCAAGTACTTGTGAAGAAGCACAAGAAGCCACATCAGTGTATTTGCTGGCAGGAAACATAGCATAGTTCATCAGTCTGCTACTTCTTCACTGTCCATAACCAAGGAAGTGGATTTAATGATATTTACCATCAGTCTACCTGGAAGGCCCAAAAGACCTTAATAATAATAAAAATATTAATCAGAAGCTTATTATTAATTCCAGCAATTCTGAACAATTTTAACTTAGAGGAATCCTTGAAATAACTACCTGGTATCAGGGAATTCTTTATAATTACTACTCATGATACATTAGTACAGTGTTTCTCAACTCCAGTCCTCATGGACCCCCAACAGGTCATGTTTTCAGGATTTCCCTCAGATGAAACAGCTGTGGTAATTACTAAGGCAGTGAAACTGATCAATTCACCTGTGCAAAATAATGGAAATCCTGAAAACATGACCTGTTGGGGGTCCATGAGGACTGGAATTGAGAAACACTGCATTAGTGTGATGGTCAGTGAGAAGACTGAGCCTTACACTTGTGGTCATTGGGAAGAATTACCCCCTACACATAGCTAAACAGATCAATAGTTTCAATGGGAACTTGTCTGAAAGGCAGACATTGCTCATTGTTCAAGGAACCCCTAGCAACCTCTTGAGGAACCCTAGGGTAACTGGAACCCTGGTTGAGAAACCCTGATTTATTCTATGTTTGAATGTGTATTTTTTCATTGTTGATGGAGTTCGGTATTAATTTGTTTTATTTTTAATATCTGTCTGGTTTTCCACAAAATAAACAGCACTGATGCACAACAGATAATGCATACAGCACGTTGGGTCTGTTGATTGACCAACTTTTTCCATTTTAAGACAACTGAATGAGGTCCTTCGAAAAGCATCGAAACACCTCTAAAATGCACGCTCCTTAATGCACCTTTAATGCGTGCATTTGGTAAGCACATATCCTAAGGTGATCACAGAAGACAAAAGGACACCCTTTATGGTTGCAATCAAAGAGATTTAAATGTGGAGCTGTGAAAGGGTTTCTTTATTGAAGCAGTGAAACTACAGAATTCTCTTCCACAAGAAGGGCTTTTAGCAGACATGTTAGATGTATTGCAGACACAAAAAGAGAGAGAATATTTTAAACTAAATATTATTGGTTAATGGCAATTTTAAAACTCTGCAGTACTATGTTGATTCAGAGATTTATCTACCTTATATGAATGTGCTGGCATTTGAGATATAGGGGTTAATTATATTTGCTACAAGGTCAAACATGATGGGCATACTGTATGTCAAAACCAATATAATACAAGTCATAATATAATAAACTATATACTGTAACGAAACAAGAGGCAGCTCATTGCCCTAGGCTCAGGACTAAGTGAGCTTTCTACAAATTTGGGCTTGTTTAGGAGCCATTCACTGATAAAGTATAAGCCTGACCCATTATATTTATATTGTGATACTAATGTCTATAATCAAAATAATGAAGGCACACATACATTTTATGATGACATGGTATATGGCTGTCCTTATATAAACAAAGAAATGAGGATATGACAGTACTCGGCTAGTGCGAAAACACAGCCTGCTGTTTTTTTTTTCTTTGGAGTAATAATAGAGTTATATTATTTTTTCCATTACACGCGGCCCTGTTGAAAAGTGTCCCACTGATGAAGACTTGTCAGCTGTCAGCTATGGTTCTCTAATCTACAAGCTGTGTTCATAGTAAATTCTGATTACTGCTGGCAGCTGTAATAACTGTGATTTCACCAGGGTCAGCACTAGTTACAAATCACACTAGTTAGTTTAATTTAGGTCAAAGTTGTCCAGGCAATGAGCTGTCCTTGTGAAAGCACAAGAAAAGATGGAGGCCAAATAAAAAAAAAATTGAGAATGGAGCATTCCTTTTGTAGTAATAAAATGCTGATGACTGTGAAGGAGAAAATAATAATAATAATAATAGTAATAATAATAATAATAGCAGCAACAACACCACCACATATTTCCATTCTATTTTGTTTTTGACACATGCCTGAGTGTTTCACACCCATCAGGCAAATCTGTATATAGAGCAATGCTTGCAAGCACAGCGAGCACAGAGTACGGAGAAGTCTCCAGGTTCCTGGTCAAAGACAAACTCTAGGCTTCCCTTCTACTACTAGTGGCCGAGTACAATCATTTATAATAGATAGCTAGCCAGCCAGCTATATAGATAATAGATGTGTGATTCGTTTCACTACAAATCGAAATCTGGAAATAATTTGCATTATCTGGAGATTCGGATATATCCGATTCTCCAAATCACAACAGTAACGAATTTCAACTGAAATAAATTAGAACTAAAACATCAAATTAATTCATATTCATTCATTTTATTTGGATGACATGATGCGATAATTTTTGTTAATGTTTGAAGCATCCGAAATAATGTAACAACATAAGGAATAATCTGAATTGATTTGAATCTTTTCGTTTTATTCGGATGAGAACACATTCGTTTTTGACTCTTGGATAAATCAGGCGATTCTTTCTGCATTAACATTTTTCATCATTATGAAAAAAAAAAAAAAAAAAAAACTACATATGAAATGGAAACATATTGCAATAAACACACTGTAATTGGATGATACTGACTGGAGTTGCGTGCATCTGAAAGTAACAAAATTGAACAAAACTAATTTCAGCTTCTTTCCTTATGCTATGATTTAGAGATTCACATGGATCCACTTCCATCCAACCCAAAACACAAGTAGTCATCTTATTTCACTTGGATACCTCACTGTATTTAATACAGTAAGGCAGGGGTAGGCAACCTTTGAGAGGTGGAGATCTACCTGAACATAAATATGCTATCGTGCTCATACAGATACACAACAGCAAATACATTGACACATCAGCAGCTACACCATATTGGCAAAAGTATTGGGACGCTTGCCTTTATATGCACATGAACTTTAATGGCATCCAAGTCTTAGTCCTTAGGGTTTATGTCACAGCTGCTTCCCCCAATGACCTCCCCCCCCTCCCCCCGCTGTCTCTCCTCCTGCTGCGGATCTTTGAAGCCGAGCCGCACAGGACGAGAGGCGCGACCACTCTCACCTCTGCCGCTATCTTGTCCCATCCGGCGAGGTCGGGAGGTCGGAGGAGACAGGATAGCGAGGTTCACACCTCTCTGCGGAGAGAAGAGGGATCACGGCGACAGGCTGACGCTGCCCGATCCCTGGCATCTGCAGCATGGGCACGGGAAGTTCCCGTGCTTGCGGATGTCCCTGGACAAAGGCCGTGCTCACGAGAAGCGCTGCCCCTGTCCAGGGGGCGTGCCTCATTGCCGGGCAACGAGGCACGCCAGCTCTGGCCCGCCCCGGTTACCTAGACGACCAGGGAGCTTCCGACATCAGCTTAAGAAGCTGATGCCGGGCGCTCCGGTCATCTTTTGCCTACCCTCCGTCACTGCGCAGTCACCAAAGGAGTCCAAGCTGCGGCAGGACCTTCGTGGCCAGACTCTGCAGAGACCCCAGAGTGGGGGGAGATTGCCTGCTAGCTGCCAGGGACCCAGAGACCCTCAGCTGAGGGGAGAGACTGCAGGATTGCCTGCCAGCTGCCAGAGACCCCAGAGCGAGGGGAGATTGCCTGCTAGCTGCCAGAGACCCCCAGCCTAGGAGAGAGATTGCAGGATTGCCTGCCAGCTGCCAGAGACCCCAAAGCAGGGGGGATTGCCTGCTAGCCACCAGAGACCCAGAGACACCCAGCCTAGGGGAGAGATTGAGAGATCGCCTGCCAGCTGCCTGAGGACTCAGCCCAAAAGGGGAAGCCACCCGCGTGATCCGGACTCCAACAGGTACCTGTGTTCCACTTTCTACCCCTGGGAGACCAGGCACCCTGTTGGATCCATGAGTATATGCTCTCTCCCTGTTTTACCTGAACTGTTCCTGTGCTGACCCCCCACCCCCCTGTTGGATTACAATTGCTACAGAGACTCTTCCTTGGCTCTCAGTGTTGGACTATAAGTGGGTTGGCCCCTCCTTGCTACCCCTTACTGGCAAATTCCCCCTCCCTGCGATTCCCTCTATTGAGTGACTGTCATCTGTGTTGCTCAATAAAGTTTTGTGCGTTTGCCATCTACTCTGTGTTCTGTCCTGCCTACCCTCCGTCACAGTTTAATATTGAGTTTGTCCACCCTCTGCAGCTATAACAGTTTCAACTCTTCTGGGAAGGCTGTCCTCAAGGTTTGGGAGTGTGTCTATGGGAAGGTTTCACCACTCTTTCAGAAGCACATTTGTGAGCTCAGGCA